TTACCAATCTACATTTAAAACTCATTTCCAACAACAACATACAATTAATTATATTTTTACTCGAACAAAAAAAAATTGTCAATTAGTTTATAAAAAACACCACAAAAACCCTAATCACCAATCTATATTTAAAATGGCTAATCAAACACCCGAGAAAAATTTCAATTATAATTTTACCAATCTACATTTAAAACACATATCCAACAACAACATATAATTAATCATATTTTTACTCCAACAAAAAAAAAAAAAAATTGTCAATTAATTTAGTACATTGCCACAACAAAAACCCTAATCACCATAATCCAACAATAACATCAAATTCATAAACAATTTGGATAAATATTCAATTAACCAAATTCATAAACATATATTAAACAACATTCAAGATTTTCTAAACAATACTCAATTAACCAAATATATCTCTTAAACAACCAAAAATTAATATTACATTATATTAAAATAACAACTAACCTCTTCTTCGACGATTGGTTGAAAATTTGTTTTTTTCCTGGGAACAGCTTCAATTCGCCAAAAAATTGAGCAAAAAATGAGAGGAGAAATGAAATGGGAAAATTTGTTTTTTTTTTTAATTGCAGCTTCAATTCGCAATAAAATCGAGCAAAAAACGAGAGGAGAAAATGAAATGGGAGAAGAAAATGGGAGAGGAAATTGGGATGGAATTATATTTATCAACATAAAAACGGATTTTCAAAATCCGTTTTACTCGTTTTTAAATGAAAAACGGATTTTGAAAATCCGTTTTAGTCAGTGGATGTATTATTATTATTAAATTCGATCGTTATCTTATAAAAAATAATAAAAAATAACAAAAGTAAAAACGGATTATGAAAATCCGGCTGTTATATACATTTCCACAACTTTTTTTTTTTGTTTTTTTCCACATATTTTTGTTTTTTTTAAATAAATAATGGACCCGCCTTTTGTTGCTCTTTCAAAGTGGGAGAATTTTTCCTTTTCTTTGTTACGTAAGTCAACGAACAATTCCCATAGTGTATATCATATATACACACATATGAAAGTGGTGATAGAGTGGGGCGACTAGGTCACCGTCCCCACTAACTATTTCCTTCCTTTTTTTTCTTATTATTTTTATATTCTAAAGATAAAGATAATGGCCAAAGGATTAGGAAACCAACTTTCAAATACTTGGTCAAATCTCCAACTTCTTTTTGTTATCTCCCGTAAAATAAAAATATCTCCTTTTTATTGTAGGGTTTTAACTAATTAATCATATTAATGTTTGGATTTGAATTTTAAAGTCAAATTTTCAAATCCAACTATTAATTTAGTAATTTAATAATTATTTAATTAATGTTCAAAGCCCAATTAATCAATCATATTGATTAATTTATTCTATTCCTTTAATTGACATCTAATCGAAATTAGATCTAATTAAATAATCAAATTATTTAATTAAGTCTCGTCAATTAATCCAACTATTGGAAATACCAATTTTAAAATGTCATCATCCAAAATATGGTGTGACCCTTTTAGGTTCACGATTAACACTAGTAGTGGGTTTACAACTTGTTTGAAATTTAAATTAATTTTATTAATTTATATTCTTGAAACTAACTCCTTAATTTCAAGAACCCACAAACCATGGTAACATCTAGCAAGTAGCATGATTATCTAGTGTTAAGTGAAATAGCGAGTAAACCTTTTCAATTGCAAGTGCATACATGTAAAATCCTTTCAACAACTAATTTCCCGATTAAATCTTGGGTATGAATTTATATGTCGAAACCCAATTGATTTAATAACTATGATTCCATTTCAAGTTTGGTGATTCCTTTATGAATCCATATTCATCCCGCCTTGGCCAAGGTCTTTGAATCACAAACTATGAAAAGCATAGGAAATTCATTTATCCACATAAGTGTCGAATTCTATGTTGGCCACAGACAAACCTCCATACACATTAATACATTACCCAAAATATCCCTTTAATGATTGTCTAGCAATCAAAAGATAAATCAAAGTAAAGTATAACATGCACAAGATTACCATCGTGCCTCAAGTCAGAGGATCAGTCATGTACTATTGCAACATGAAAATTCTTATTCGACAGTTAAAAACTTCCAGCTAAGAATTTTCATCGGGCCATGTTCAGTGAATTTGTTCCCCAACAAGCACCCGCATATATGAATTTGCGTCCACACACTAATGTTGATGGAATGCAACATCCTCGTCCGACGAGCATGCATCATATGCACAAGTCTTACCAGGTATTCAATGTCCTGTCTCGAAATACCCATTGACTTGGAACTTATTTAAGATCACAGCTTTAAAGACATGTTCCATGATTGCCATCAAATGCGCAACCATGTCTCATAGCTAATAATGATCTAAGGACTTTATCATATGTACAAATATAAGATAAATGCAAAGACATAAGATAAAGAAATGCCTCAAAATAATATAAATTCCAATAAATTGTTTTTACAAGTAGAAAAATATCCAATCAGATTGGAACGCCGGGTATTCTACTCTAACAATTTACTCTGTGTGCATGTGTGTCGGAGTGTGTGTGCAGGACGGGGTGGGTGTTGTGTGTGTGAGAGAGAATAGGAAGTCAATGAGAGAGAGAGAGAGAGAGAGAGAGATTTAATGAGTGGGGGTGGTGGATGTCACGTGGCAGTTGGGGGTGTGGTGTTCGTAAGTCCCACTGTTTTTGAGTGTTGTAAATTACCACATTACCCTAAATGAAGGTATAATTTTGACTCTTTTTAGCCAATAGATCGTCCGATCCCATGACTACGATTTATTCTCATTTCTTTCACTAAGCACCATTCTCATGTGAATGCGACTATATATATATATATATATATATATATATATATAGGGGTTGGTTCAAATAAAAACTAGTCCTGGTGTGAGAACCGTGAGAACCATATTTGATGCTATTTTTAATTGTGTATGATGCTATTTTTATTCTCACATGGTGCTATCATTTTTACAAATGCTAACATAAATTGTGTTGCTATTTTTAATAAAATACATCCTGATTAAAAATAGCACTAAAATACAATCAATCATAGCACTACATACAATTAAAAATAGCGGTTCTCACGGTTCTCACGTTAGGATTTAGTTCTCATTTGAACCAAATCCTATATATATATATATATATATTGAAAATTGTGCATGTGATGTCCTTCCTACAATTGGCTTAAATTTGTTTTAATAACTATCATAAAATTTATAACTGATCTCATGATAATGATCAGGAAACATAAATCATTACACTTGGCTAAAAAAAATATCCCACTTTACATTAAGAAAATATATAACATTGCTTTTGCTACTAAAATTCAACTATTAATTATTATTCTTATATGATGATAACAGTGAGAGAAAGACAGTGGGTTAATTCTGGAAAGCAGGGTTAATGTTGAAAATCACATTATATTACATTTTTTCACATTCTCAACCAAAAAATATTATAATTCAATGGGTAGAATAGAAGTAACTTTACAGTATTAATCAAACAGCACAATAAGAGCTATATAATGTGGTGGATACTCAATAGGGCCCACTTACAATATAATATCAAACACAATCTGGCATTTCAACCAAATACATCTTCAAAGTTTGACCATGCCTCGTCATGCGGGTAATAACAAGAGTTCTATAATTCCATTTCAGGCTAGTCTAAATGTTGTAGGAGACTCATGTAGCTAAAGCTTAAAGAGTACCGGCATACTGACAATTTAGAATATACATGTAGACTTTTTATCATTTTAAGTTATTATTTGGATGATATAGCCTTTTGAATTTCGATTACATGTTTATATATAGCTTATTATTGTTATTAGATTTTTCAATATCCTTTTATAGAAAACTTATCCAGCGTGATTATTTCTTTTTATTAAAAAAAAGTTAAATAAATTATTTTTTTATGATGAAACATTGAATATTTGATTAGGTAGGTGTAGTGCCCGTTCGATTATTATCAAATATAAAATTTATATTGTAAAATAAAATAATTGTTACATTTTACATTAATGCATAATAATATTTTAATATTTTATTATATAATGTTACAACCAAATACTAGATAATTATAAATTAACCTTAAATGTTATATGAAAGTTACATACCTACAAGAAAAATCTATCGCAATACCTTTATTCATGATATTTTTTACATTAATGTTTAATAATATATGTTAACATTTTATTATATAATAGTTACTAGTAATAATAACAAATTATAAATATACATTAAATGATATGAAAGTCACATACTTACAAAAAAAATTATTGCAATACTTTTGTTTGAAGTATTATTTTACAACCAATATTATTTTTTATCTCATTAAGCGATTTTTTTTTTAAATTTATCTAATTGATTTTAATGACGTAATCAAACCTCTTAAAATCTCATAAATAATTTTTATAACAACAACAAAAATAATATTAAAATTTTTCAACAACTTAATTAATCATGATCCCTTAAAATAATAAAATTTTCATTATCATTTAATACATTTTATACCACTAATACAATAATTCGTACTTAGTCATATAATTTATATTTATACTGTTCATTTTTACTATAATAAAATTTTAAAATTTGATATACCTATTATCTAATTTATAATTTGAAATAATATATATATACATATATAACATATGATATTTTAATTCATGCGCACAAGATGGAGTAGTAGATGTTTTTGTTGCATACGAGACTTGATGTATCTAGCGTCAATTTCGGGAAAAAGCAGACAAATTAAGTAATAAGAAGTCAAGTTAGGCATGCTTTTAAGACATGGTAAAAATAGAAATATTTGCAATCTCAATCAGCACGCGGCAGATAGCAGTTTTTTCTTCTGCGGTGTGCACAGTACTCTAGTCGTTATATAATCTTGATGAGCTAAGAAGAGAATATATGCATAACTTTAAATATTAATTTCTTTGCAGTTAGAGTCTAGACTCTAATTAAATAATAGTGTAGCAGTTTGAAAAAAGATGGGTCATATTGTTAGCCATGTTGTTCTCTTTCTTTCTCTCTCGCTCGCATTCGTTCATCCTCGTAACGAAGATGTTAACACATATATTGTCAGAGTCCAAAATAACAAGAAACCATCAGTGTTTGCAGAGGTCCAACACTGGTACCATGCCGCCCTTGAAAGCCTGGAAGACTCGAATAATAATAATAATATTAATACTTCAAATTCAAAGTCTCAAAATCACTCATCAAAACTAGTTCATGTTTACAACACAGTTTTCCATGGCTTCTCCGCTAAACTGACCCCGCGGCAAGCCCAACAGCTTAAGGAGCGGCCGTGGGTCGTTTCCGTTTTCCCCGACCGAGTTTACAACTTACACACGACCCGGACACCTTATTTCCTAGGCTTATACGGTGATACTTACCACACCGTTGCTGGGCCTTTGTTGACTGATTCCGATTATGGCTCGAATGTCATCATTGGATTCCTCGACTCTGGTATAGATCTCGAGCACCCTAGCTTCCACGACGACGGCCTCGAACCCCTCCCAGCCGACAAGAAATGGAGAGGCGAGTGCGCAGTACAAGGTTTTCCGTGCAACAAAAAAATCGTTGGCGTTCGGTACATTACCAACGGAACGTACGCGGAGCACGGCACGCTCACGGTGTCCACGGCCGCAGGGCGTGCCATCGAGAACGTGTCTTATCCCGAGAGCGCGAGCGGCACGGCCGTCGGAGTCGCGCCCAAGGCACGAATTGCGTTGTACAAAGTATGCGATGTTTACGGCTGCGCGGGCACCGACATTCTCGCCGGTTTCGACAGGGCGGTGAAGGACGGGGTCGACATAATCTCCGTCCCCCTCGATTTCAGTGACGACGCCATTGGGATCGGGGCGCTTGGTGCCACGGAGAAGGGCGTTTTGGTCATTGCGTCCGCCGGGAACGGCGGCATTGTGACCAACGTCGACCCGTGGGTGATGACCGTCGCCGCGGGCACGATCGACCGCGCGCTGCCGGCCGATCTCGTGCTCGAAAACGGCACGCGGGTGCACGGGGCTTCGCTTTACGGTGGGCCCCCCATGGACACCTCGTCTTTTCTGACCTTGGCGTACGGGGCGGAGTGTGGGTTGTTGGACGAGATGCATTCCGGAAAGATTGTGTTCTGCTACACAGACGACGTCAGCAGTGCCGTAGAGAATGTGACGAATGCAGGAGGTGCTGGCGTGGTGGTGGGAACTGGTGTCGACCACGTCGGCCAACAATTTACGATTCCTTGCCTCGTCCTGACCGAGTCCGACGGGAAAATGATCCTTCACCTTCTCACGGCGAAAGTAAACACGACCGTATATGCCACGATGGATTTCCGCGGTGTGGAACTCGGGATCGAGCCAGCTCCAGCAGTAGCTTCTTTCTCCTCCAGAGGCCCTAATCCTCGTTCGCCGTATGTTATGAAGCCCGACGTGTTGGCGCCAGGTGTCAACATCCTAGCGGCATGGCCAGAGGGCGTCGACCAGTTCAAACTTATGTCAGGCACATCCATGGCCTGCGCGCACGTGTCCGGCCTCGCTGCTCTCTTGAAGGCACTCCACCCAAAGTGGTCCCCAGCCATGATCCGCTCCGCCATCATGACCACGGCTTATAACACAGCCAATGATGGCAAACCCATAATCAATGATAATGATAGGACCTACGCTAAAACCTTAGACATGGGAGCGGGTCATATTGACACGAATAAAGCCTATGATCCAGGATTAGTCTACGATATCACCTCGGAAGAATATTACGTGGCTTTCATGTGCGCCTCAAATCATACCGATTGCAGTGAAACTAGGCCGTGGGATCTGAATAATCCAGCCATCTCTATTGGTTCGCAGTCATTATTACATAATGATATCACAGTTAAAAGGACTGTGACAAATGTTGGTGAAGCTGATGCTAGTTACACTGTGACGGTGACCAATCCAAGAGGGGTGAATCTGACGGTAAATCCGATGAGATTAAATTTTACCAGCAAGGGTGAAAAGCAAAATTACAGCATAACTATACCCGCAACAGATTTGCCCGAAGATATTACTACTGCGGAGGGGAAGATAGTTTGGTCGGATGGGAAGCGCCAGGTGGCGTCGCCTGTTGTGATTGTCAACACTCCTAATTGACCAACTCTTTGTCATGATCACTATCTATATATCACTCATTATGCAGTATCCATTGTTTCAAGTTTGTCAACACTCGTATTTATTTTTTATTTTTTAGTTTTCTGAAATGTTATATTGTCATGTGAAATTATTGTAATCATTGAATTGAAATGTATTTGGATCTCTCAAATTTAACTTATGATAAAAACATTATCGTACATCATTTTTCAATAGTTTTAGTTATCGTGGTCGGTCATCCGCAACAGGCATGAACGTATTCATGGATTTTTGAGGATATATCTCTATCAAGTCTAATAAATCGATTATTCAAATTTGTAGATTCTTATAGGACCAAGAAAGTAAGAGAAATAATAATCGCCTACTGTTAAATCACTTTAGGACATGTTTTTGGCTTTTATTATTATATAGTAGTACTTTTACCAAGTCTAAAAGTGTAATATCTATATCTATATCTATATAAATATAAAAAGATTTAACATTTATCTGAAAAAGTAACCGAAATCCTATAAAAAAAATTCATTTTTACCTTTATTAGTAACTTTTTAAAATATTTTTAAAAAATGACGGTCAATCATTTGAAATTTAAATTAAAAAATCAATGTAGTTAATGTACAGAATCAATCTGGTCAAATATAATGGTTCTTACCACTTAAATGATTCAAATATTTTAGGTAAATATTATCTTATTAAAATCTTTATATATGTTAATAGACATTTATTATTTATTTTTTCCTTAGGTGATATAATCTAAATTTGGTTATTAGATTTTTAAAAATCCACAATTATTTATATTTATCTACCAAATCTTATATTAACGACTCTTATATTATATTTTCTTCATATAATTCTCCCACTTGAAGTCGAGGTTGATTGAAATTCTTCATATAATTCTCCCATTCGGAAATGGTCGTTGAATTTAGTTCTGAACTAATTGGTGAGCAAGCTCAGGGCCTATGTTTATCTCACCCTTTAATTTCTTAACAAGTCGTGTTCCCCATAAAAGCTGCTCTCCTAAACCGAATCCTTGGGAAATTTCAGTTGGGGTGAGGAAGAGACCTCACCTGGACGAGTATCTGCCGTCAGCTCAGGGGACGAGACTTGAAAATTAAGAAAACGAGGTTGTGATTCGAGGTCACGGTGGGTAAGATTAGCGGCGATGCCACTGCTAGCCCAACCACGCCGATGTCCTTCTCACGAGTGAATCTGACAATAAATCCAAGTGGATGAGGAATCCCAAGAAAAGGATGAGTGAATTTTCTTTACTATTTTTTTACATTTATTTTTGTTGAATATGTATTTTTGAGTTTTAACTATTGATCCAATCATGTTCTCTAATTTTTGAATTATGCATTATTTCCAATTTACTCATCTGCTCTGAGCTTTTTCTTTTTCTTCTTCTACGTTTAAAAAATATCTCAAATAATTATTATTTTTAATAATTTTATTTAACATTTGATTAGCACGCAGTGGAGGAATACTAAGTTAATTATACATTCCCTTGAATAAGATTAACTTACAGGTTTAAGAGAACGGAAATTGCTCAAAAATTTGATTATAAATATGGTTACTTTTTTATATTCACCCCAAAAGAGCGACTTAATGAAGTTGTAAAACAAATAAATTGTCGTACATTTTTTAGTTCAATTTACAAAACATATTTTATTTTTTGAGGTGAGTGTTCATCGTATTTTGTAGACATTTACAATAAAAATAGTAACAGATCATTAATTTTGATCTCTGTGATGAATATAATATTTTCTTCCTTGACCGTATAGTCATCATTTTTTAAGTTGTCGCTATAGTCCACTTTTGATGAAACTCCACTTTAAATAAAAACGGTTTATATGCATATATTATCCAATTAGTAAATATACTTATAGAAATATTCGAAAAAAATAGGAAAAAAGTGTTTTCATGAACTTGACAAATATCTCTCTATGGTATGTATTGTATTTATTTAATTCATATATATATATCCTAAATCATCACATATCTTGATATTGTAACAATATATAAAACAACCAATTAGCATTAAAATGCTATACTTTTAGTTTTCACTGACAAACGAAGACCTCTAATAATTTTAGAAAAATAATTTTAGTATCAAGGTTTGATCATTATTTAAATTTCAACTGAATTTGCATATATTATGTCTTCAAGACTTGAACTATGAGGATTGAGAGTGTAACGAATATTTTTTAAATCAATATCAATATACTAAAAAATCTATTGTTATAAATGAAGTGATTGCTCATACATCAATTGATCTATTTGTATATGAGCAAGACCCTCATTCATGCATGCCTATTTCTTCATAGCACAATATAAAAATCACGATTTAGATTTCATTAAACTAAAATTTGATTCTTTGAAATTATATATTTAGTTTATGTTAATTAAATTAGTGTGTACCCCGTACGATGCACGGGAACAATATTAAATTAACAATATTATAAATAGATCTCGAGTTTGAGTCACTGACGGAAGTTGAAACTACTATTGATCCTATTTAAAAAGAGAAAGAAAAAAAAATAATTATAAAGTAAAGAGGAGGATAAACGATACTTAATAATTATAAATTAAAGATTCGGGGTCAAACAATGTAAAACTATTTTGTATAAGAAAATATGAAATTTACATTATTTTGTATAAGAGAATATAAAATTTACATGTTTAATATTAAAAACACCTAAAATATTATATTAGTATATATGTAAAAGTATTCAAAATTTTCTATATTATTTTTGAAAGATGTGAAGTCATCTACAACTTTTCTAAATAATTTTAGAAGGAAAACATATCTAAGAATATTTGAATTTAACATTGTGTAAAAAAGATTTTTCTAGACTATTTTGTAAAGAAAATATGTCTATATTTAAATTTAATATGTGTATATGTACATATATATATATATATATATATATATGTATATGCGTATGTTCTGTATAGTTTTTTAGAGATAATAATTCAACACCTGTATTTGTTTTAGGAAATGAATAACAAACTTAATATCAATTTTGAATAATGATAAGGTGTACTCCTTATAATAAGATTTTGTTTTTGAATCTTAAAATTATCCCAGATATCTCCTCTTTATAATACATTTTTTTTTCTTCAATTTATCGTTAAAAAAATATGTTTAAAAGGGTTACTATACAAAAATATGTGATAAGGATGCTCGCGTGAAATGGGATTATTTCGTTACCGTAAAAAATTATGCGATAAGGACGCTATTAATGAGGCGTGTGAATTGGGTTATTTCATGAGAATTAAATCGGTATAATTAATGAGTTTAAAAGGCATGTGAAAAGGACATAAATGCTGAGCATGTGAAATGGACATAAGAGTTACCGATTTTAGAAAGTAATAAATGCAAAACTGACTTTGACCATTAATTAAGTTACTAATTTTGATAAATGTTAATTCTTATTATATAAGTATAGATTAAATAATTCAAATGATTTATTCCATATTAAAATTTTTAAACGTGTTATTTTAAATTTTGGATAAGATATCCATGTCAATTATCAAATAATGTATGATTCACGAAAGCTTAGTAGGATGTAGGTTAAATGAAAAGATAGCCTCAAATTTAAATTTTTTTAATCATTTTAAAATTTTTAATCATTATATTTTAAAATTACTAAATTCATGAAAAGTTTGTATTCTAAATCCCGCCTAAAATTTTTAAAATTACTAAACTTGGTAATATATATATTTTTTTAATTTTCAAAAAATTTCGCCTATAGAAATTAATTAATCAATTTGTGGTATAAAGGTTGGCAAAATAACTAAACCCGATTTTCGTATAAAATAGGTGATTTTATATGAGGTATCTTATAGTCATTTTTATTTTTTGTAGGAAATGCATTTTTATTAAAATGTCCAAATTTATGGTATAAAGTGGGCGATTTTATTTTGGTATGAAATATCCGAATTTAAATGGTATAAATTTTATTTGATATGGATAGAAGTGTATTAGGAAATTTTGAAAACAAAAATAAGTGATATAATTTTATTTGGTATGTGTATGAAAGTCGAATTTTAAGTTGATTTGTTATAAAATCAAGGTGATATGATTCTCAAATTTTAGTAATATTCCCATAATAACTTGACATAGGATATTGATGATAATTCGGAGTATTCCTCTTGAAAATCAGAAAGATCTTTGAACATATATTGATTAATAAAATTTAAAAAATTTACAATTTAATACTAGAGAATTAGTTGATAAATTTGAATAATTACCGACAATAAATCTATAAAATTTTGAGATAATATATATATATATATATATATGAAACATATAACAGAATTTATAAGTTGGGTTCCAAATTTAAAGTCAAATAAGTAATTATTCATAACTTACGGGTCAATATTAACTCAAACGTAAATGAATAGTCAATTATTTATGGTTTAATAAATTAGTCAACTTTTTTTTTTTATTAGGATAGTTTATATAAATGTAAATTCATTTCAATCAATGAACCAATATAAATTTTATTATACTTATTATTCACATATATTTTGATATATATGTTAAACTTTTCCTAAAATAATTAATCTATGGGAGCACATTGTAGTCAAATAAAATTTTTGAATGAAAATTTTAAAATGACAATAATTTAAAAATAAATATAATATAATTTATTATCACTTCCGTGTACCGTACAGGCTGTGTACTAATTTCAAATCGATATGTTTTATGTAATTTTGTACAATTTAAATTTTATAAAATATTTTTAATAAACTAATATAGGTAATTATATTACATATTGATTCCATATTTTCAATTCATATATATTATTTAATGAGCATTTTTAATTTTATAAATATTAAAAAATATCTTTTACCCACGATGCACGGAATTCGTACTAGTATTAAAGTAAAAAAGTGAGAAGAGTTGAACCAATAAGAGTCTTAAATTCAACTATTGGAAGGGGAATGGAGTTGAACATAAATGATAAATTGTCAGAACCAGACTTTACATTGTGGGAAAG